CAAACAAAACAGCAAAGGCTGGCCTAATGATATTTATTTATTTATTTATTTTAGTTCTCTTTTTAACACGTGTGTTTCCCATTTTTGTGCCTACATTAAGCCTCGGCCTGTTGTTTTTATTTATTTTTTTGTGGTGTTGCATGTATTTGTTGTGAATACTTGTTATAAATAAAGATTTAGGGAAAAGGGCAAAAGGTGTATGAGAGGTTTTAATACAAAAATACTAAACTGAGATTAAGCGTTATGTGCACTCACTTCGATTTTGCACTGTACATAGAAAATATATAGATGATAATCATAAATGATAATCACAAATGTTTAACAATTCACATATATAGTTTGCAAATATTTAGCAGTATTTGAAAATTTCTAACATGWCAGCTTCTTCAATTAAAGAAAAATAAAACAGTAAAAATGTATCGTCAAGGTTTTTAAATGTTTTTAAACCTTATGTATAACTAAAGACGGTTTGAGCACACATTTTGAAATAACAATGAACACGAACGAACAATATGAACATTGAAAGCCACATAAAACAAAGAAGGTAAAAAAAAACAATATAATAAATAAACAAAAACTGAAACAACAGGAGCTACATTAAAATAACGTTTCTCAGTATTTTTATAAAGACAATGTGCTTTTTTGTGAAATGCATGTTTCCACTGAATCTCTTAGCAAGTCCAAATCATTAATAAATATAGTAAACACTGGTTCGTATATTTATTGTCAAATTACAAAAAGTTATTAGATATTTCCATCAAGTTGAATCTGCAGCAGAGCGATGCTGCCCCCTACCGGTAGCTTAGGGTTAGCTTTAGCGTTAGCTGATATCATACGTACTTTAAATAATTTAATAACGCTTTATAATTAAAAAAAAAATCTAGAATCAATTGTTATTTAAGCAAATCCWAAACATAAATATATAACGAAAGGTTGTTTTCTATATGAAATATAAAATATAAATTGTCGCAGAGGACGTTTCATGACGTCATAAGTGTGCGCCGTCGCGTGTTTGGATCGTGAAGGACGTCGATGAAGCTCGAAATGAAATAAGTGAAATAATCAGGTTAGCCTGGTGTTTTTGGTTGTTTTAAGTTTTATTGTAGTTTTAACAACAAGCGGTTATGTTAACAGTAAACCGGAAACAGGCATCGAGTCCTGCTGCTAGCTAAACAGTGTCTGGGATTATACCATCGGGATGGATGTGGATTTGTGAAGAAAGCGTTTGTTTTTGTTTTTTTTAATTTAGTGATTAATTTCTTATAATGATGCTTATAAAAGCTAATGAAACCCCTCTGCTTCTGACTTTCTGCAGGACTTCCTCATCATGGCCATGTTTTCTTTAACTCGAGCCCTGCGCTCCCTGACCCTCTCCCAGCGTCCTCTGCTCTCCTTGCAGGTAAAAACACAGCACTCCTGGTGGCTTCAGTCAGGATTCACAGTTCCCAAAAGGCGAAGTGACGTAGTTGTTTGATTTTCACACAGGTGGCCTCTCAGCTGACGTCTCAGAGGTCCGGTACGGTCAGCCTGTGCAGAGGCTTCCTCACCTCAGGCTCTCTGCAGCTGAAGATGCAGAACTTGAAGGAGTGGAAGGAGGGGAGGAAGTACACCATCAGACCTATCGGGATAAAGAAGACCGGAGGCAGAGATGAGACAGGTAAACCAGCAGGAGCAGGTGTGTGTTTGGATGTAAAACTAACAGTGTGGTATAAAGCAGTGGTTCCCAAAC